ATACAATGAATATACATAAAGTAAATACTTGAAATAAAATCAAACATATCACAAAAACAATTATCAGATAAAAACAAGCTTAGTCCACTACAGGTCCCAATGGAGTCGTTATTCTATCGCACGTGTATGACATCATAAGTGATCTTCCACCTAAAAAAAACAAACAGATGTAATTTCTATCTAGCAAATAGAGAGAGACAAGGTATTCTTATCTCTTATCAGCAAAATATAGATTGGAGTCGCCACCTAATATTCTGGTTACTAGGAACCCTAACTAGTCTCAGAGATGGAGTACGGAGACTGGTTGCGTAAAGGGTAGGTATTAGCATCCCAAATACGTCTTACCTAAGGTAGGCTGCATTGTTTTAATGTTTGATAAAAATCTAAGCAACATATATATAACAAAATTTTTAATACAAGGATTATGTTTTACTTATAAATTTGTAATCCCTGGTATTAAAATAAAACCAAAATAAAATAAACTAAATAAATTTTATTTTTTATTTTAAATTTTGGCCAATGTTCTCTTGACTTTAATAAACCGGTTATTAAAGCAAAATGAATGCTAAAATATTTTTCTTTTATATGAAAAGAAATCAAACAATATGATTTTAGTTGTGAGATACTTGGCCGTATGTCCAAAAAATATTTTTATTTATGCATTTATTTACCTTTTACAAACAAAACCGGGTATTTTAATACCCGATTTGTATTGTTCTGGTGAATATAATGTAACGGGCCAGCACCGGCCTAAAATAAAAATGGGCCGAAACTAGCCCATCACGCAAAATGGGTCATGGATGGCCCATTTTGTTATCACTGGCTGGTTACTCTACTATACACAGTAACCAACCAGGTGATGAATTTGGATGCAGAACGTGAATTCATGTTCTACATGCCAATGGTTGAGGAAGGTAACGAAATTAAGTAGAGAAGGAGAGAAACTTACCTGATAGGAGGCGTGGCTGTGGTCTTCGGTGGTGGCTCACGACGGTGGAGACGATGGCTGGACTGCGACACTGCTTCTGCTCCCTTATTTCTCCTAACTCTCGGCTTTCTTTGCGTTTTCCTCTTTTCTTCTTCTTTCTTCTTCCCTTTTTCGGTTCTCACCCCATCTATTCCTTATCTCTTTATTCTCTTTCTTTATTTCTTTCCTTTGTGATTTTTTTACCTTGATATCTTATCAAAAAATATTCAATATGTATCTTAAATCTAAAAACTGTAATTTAAAGTTTTTTATTAACGTTTATTTCTTATATTTTCTATTTTTTCAACTTGGAATTGGTGTCTTAGTTCTTATCCCTTTTATTTGCATAAGGACCTAATTCATATGTTAATTTTCTTATAAATGAGAAAAATATTATTAATTAAAATTTAAATATATTGATACATAAACAATTTATATATCTTAACCATATAATGCACATAAAATTCCATTTATGTATTACTAGTTGTGGACCACGACTACGATGCAAGCTTGAATTTTTTTTTATTAAATAAATGATGTTTAGGTCTCAAAATTGTGTTTCAAAGAAGGAATAAGAATTTATAACTTAGATCATAGATTCAACATGATCAAATAAGTTAGTTTTATTTTAATTAGATAATAAAAAATAGACAATGATAACAGATGGATCAAATTAAAAGAAAAGGATCACAATAACTTAAAAAATATTTTTTTTCAAAAGAAACAAATAATGGAGCTCAATTCTCAACCTATTAAATGTAAAAAGATGAAATTAGGTAAAAATATAACCTAAAAAATCAGCCTGAATCACTCTTAGTTAGCATGACACACTTATAATCCTAATAATCAAGATTGAGTAACTTGAGTTATTTTGCCAAACCTGTAGCCAAAGTTATAAGATTTGGATAACTTGATAGAAAAGAAAATGAGAAAAATCACAAAGCCCGTAAAAAAAAAAAAGCAACGTCGAATGATGGAAGGAAAAAAAAATTGATACTTGTGCTAACTTTTCAAACCTGTGACCTAGGTCAGTAAACTAGAAATATCCTATATGAAAAAAATATGAAATTCAATTCTCAATCAATTAAATGTTAAAGGATAAAAGTAAAAAAAGAATTTCAATTATACAAAAGGATTTAAAACAAAAACTAGTAATTAAAAAAAAGAGGATAAAAATAAAATACAAAATAAATTTTATTTTTTACTAAAAGGTGAAATTCAAAAGAAAAACCAATTTAATAAAAAGACCTAAAAAAATTAGAACAATCAAAAGAATATGGATTAAAATTGAAATAAAAAATAAATTTTATTTTTTATTAGGGGATGAAATTGAAGAGAAAAGTCAATTAAGCAAAATGATAAAAAAATAAAACAATAAAAAAGGGAAAAATAAATACAAAATTTTTATTGAAGGGTGAAATTGAAAAGAACAATTATTTAAGAAAAAAATCCAAAAAAAAATAAAAAAGGAGCAAATTAAAAAAAATCAATATCATAAATTATAATTGAAAACAAATCAAAATTTTATAGAAAAGTAAAAAAAAAACTAAAAGAATAAAGATCGAAGTACAAATGCTTATAAATCAGAGGAAAAATCTGAATGTTTCCATGGTTAACATAAATTTTAAAGGGAGAAGAGAGAAAAGAATGAAAGGAAAAGAGAAAATGACCCTGATAACAAACCACGCTACTATTGACAACATTCGCCACCACTAAAAAAAAAAGGATATTACGATACTTCCAATGATATAGTGTAAGCTAGATTTTGGTTGTCGGAAAATGCCAAATACATTGGCAACTTTTTTTATTTATATAATATTAAATAATTACTAAAAGACTAAAGTGTCCTCATTCTAATTAGTAATAACAAAAAAAAAAAACCAGAGTGAAAAAGACCAAAAAAACCCTAAAAGTAAGCTTTTAATTTTTTTATTTATTAAGGTAAAGTTGTTATCTTTATGTATTTTAAAAAGATAAAGGATAAAATTGCCCTTATATGCTAATTTTAAAAATTTTATTTTCAAAGGTATTATAGTCATTTAAAAAAATCAGAGAAGACATACCTGCCTTTAACAAATCTTTTAATAAGTAATAGGTAATGTGAAAAACAATATATATTTAAGGTTGTAAACATATTAGATTAGCAAATAAAAATACTTAGTTTATCATAACAATAGCGTACAAAATATAAAAATTGTTTTAAAAAAACCTATGATGCAGACAATTTTACATTTATAAATATGAAAAATTAAAACTCAACACAAACACACTTTCAATATACATGTAAAAAAAGAATATTAGTATACATATTAAGCATATTTTCAAACTTGTAATTGATATAAAATTAAAGTCTTAACATGCATACTAATTATTAAAATAAATATATTTAAATTAAAGTAATAAATGATACTTACTTAGAAATATTTTAAAACAATAAAACTTTTATTATTGTTAGTAATAAATTCTTTTTTCTTAAAATTTTACTATTTTTTACTTTTGATGAGAGTTTAAATATGAATATTGGATTATTTAGGTTTTGACGAGAGTAATATGTTTTCTGAGAGAGAGTTGAATTTCATAAAGTAAATGAATAGTTGTATATAAAAAAAAAGGTTTTATATTGAATATGATGAAGTATTTTGAATTTAGATTTAAAATAAATATCAAATTTGATAATTAAATTTTTTTAGATAAAAGAGAACAAGAATATACGTTTTAATTGAATATTAAAGAATGATTTATACGGCTTTTTAGTTTTGAATATGATATTTACATAATAACAACATTAATAGTTGTTGTTGAGGTAGCATTCTAATGATCAGTAGCAACAATAACATTGATTACAGTTGTAGCATACAGTGAAGGAGATGTAATTAGTTATAGAGAATGAGACAATATGATCATGAATAGTCGAATCGAAGAGTCCTTATTCAAAGAACACCCATGATTTCGTTTAAATTTACAAGGCCACAACCTACCTACCTGTGCTCGGAACTCATTTCGTAATTGTAAAAGAAAGAAACGAATAACAAGTACCATAATTAATTAATTAATTAATTAATCGAAAGATGGATGAATGGTCAGCCATTGATTATTTGCCTATCGACAACTCTCTTGTTGCTTGAAATTAAAACCACGAGGTCTCATGATAAAGATATGCAAGAAGAAAAAAAAAAAAAAGATATGCAAGAAGAGCACTCTAATGGTTTCTTATTTATTTTAGATACATAAATTAAAATAAAATTTAGGCATTGTAGAAATTTTTAGTATTATTATTAAATAAAAAATATACTTATTTTAATTTTTTTCATTAAATTTAATTTTTTTATTAACGTGTTTCTTATTTATTTTAATAAATATAAAATTTTTAATTAGAGTAATTGTTTTTGTTATAAGTAAAATATTTTTTAATTTTTAAAGCCAATTAACTAAAAAAACAATTAAAATAATATGTACTATAGGATGCTAAAATAAATTTTAAATAAAATAAAATCTTGTTCAAAATGTATTTAAAAATCTTAAAAATAAAAAACAATTTGAATTGATTTTCCAAGAAAAATTAACTATTATTTTTATATTAGATATGTAATAATTAAAAATAGTCACTAAAATCAAATAAAAATTTATAATAGCAATATTAAATTAAATAGGAATTGGATTTGAATTTTTTTTTAAATACTAAAAAAATCAAAGAAAAACAAAACATCAACCCAGCACTTCATAAATAATATAGTTGTTTTTTAAGTGTTTTTTATTTACAAATATTTTAATATAATATTTTTTTTATTTTTTAAAATTTATTTTTAATAGTAATAAATCAAAATATAAAATATTAAAAAAATATTAATTTAAAATAAAAAATAAACTTTTTAAAAATTATTTTTTAAACATAGAAATAAACCGAAACTAATAAGTAGCATGCGTCTTGTGTTTTGAAAAAAATATGACAGGAGATATCTATCACGTGAAAGAAAATATTGCAGTACACCGGAAGGAAAAGAGCTTAAATGCATAAAACAGAAACACGTGTATTTTGCAGTCTATTATTATTAAGGAAATAAAAAAGAAAAGAAAGAAGGGCAGAAGTGGGCAGGCCTGCTCACTGGTTTCAATCAAACCAGGCCGGCGCCAAAGAAACTCAAACAAATGCTCATTGAATCGAAGGAGAAGATCTAAGAAGCAAAAAATGAGCGGGACTCGATTATGCGCATTGCTCGGAGAATTAGGTTACGAAGGGGCAGACACACTAGACCCAGACAGTTTCGAATGGCCTTTCCAATACGACGACGCACGCCCTATCCTCGACTGGATCTGCTCCAGTCTCCGCTCTTCCAACGTCCTCTCCCTCTCCGACCTCTCCCGGTTACTTCATCTCACTCCTTCTCTTCTTTTTTCTTTCTTATATCTATTTCTTCACATCAGATCTAATTTTGTTTCTCAATCGATTCTCCAGGTACGAACAGTTTCTTCAAGAGGAGAAGCTTTTGGAGGTGCAATTCCCTTCCCACTTTATTTTTTTTTTTAAGAAAATGATTTGTGTAATTAGAGTGGGATTTTGGCTAGGGTGAGGACTTGGAGTTTGCTTATGATAGCATTTCAGCTTTTTCTTCAAGGAGAGACAATCAGGAGGAAGTTTTTGGCGCTGAAGAACCCTTAAAAGATATAAGGCAATTTCTCACTTCTTTATCATCTTTTTTCTTCCTTGCAAACCTTTCAATTCTACGCGTTATCATTTATTAATTTATGTTTTTTGTTTTAGGGATGCCACTTCGGCGTATAAAGCTGAAGCTTTGGAGTTGCAGAAACAGCTCAGGCATTTGCAGGCGCAGTTTGATTTGCTTTCTGGCCAGGCTTCTGCTTTGATCCAAGGGAGGCGGGCTCGAGTTGCTGCAACATCTACTGTGAATGGATGCCTTGCTGCAGTTGATGATACTCTTTCAGCACGAAACTTAAGGGTATATAATCTTATTTTTTATTTTTTTAAAATGTACTTAACTTCATCAACAGCAATGATAATTGGAGTACGCTCTTTATCTCTTGTTTAAAGCGGGTTGCTTTCAGAGAAAAACTGCATGTAGTAATTTGTTGCTTGCTATGTCTTCTGAAATCTTTCTTTGTAATGTAGATGAATGAAGTTCTTGGAAGGATTGCATCTACAGCACAAGAGTTGGCTCACTATCATTCTGGCGATGGTAGTGTTTACCTTTCTGTTTTTAACTTGTTGTTTTGGCCATTTGAAATTATTGAATTACAATCAGTTTTTGTAAAGCATTTCTTGTGAAAGATTAGACCTTCAACTTTAGAACTTATACTTTCAAACATATGGTGTTTGAATCTATTTGTAAAGAGGATAACGAAGTCAATTTAAAGCCTTGTTTTCAATCGAATACAGGCATTGATGCGTGGTACAGTTCTTTACTCTAATTGTAATTGACCCCCAGTGTATGGTATACTTTGGGCCATTCTCAAGCTTCATTATAGAACAGAAGGCTTGTTTGGATGGTTTGGGGGTGGGGGTAAGAAGAAAATGAATGGCAAGATGATGCACAAAAATGGAAGCTCTGCTCTTATCCAGACTTCTGACAACCAATTATTGGATTGACTTCAACTCCTAAGGTCATAGATAGTCACAAACTAACAAAAAATTATTTTTGGTTTTTCTTTTGATGGCTTCTATCACTATTTTTCTCGCAGAGGGTGGCATCTACTTAGCTTACTCTGATTTTCATCAGTACTGGCTTCAAGATTCATCTTGTATAAAGGAAATAAATCAGTGGTTCTCTAAGCAACTGGACACGGTATGCGGATTCCAAACTGTTTCCCTCTTGTAGTATTGAATTTGAAGCCATTTTGCATGTCTATATAGGTACTCTTAGGACCTAAAGTTGCAGAAATTTAGTCAAGGACATCCTTGACCGGTGGAGTGGTATAGTAGATATTTCTGTTGACGTTTATCTGTTTTCAGTGACTTTAAGTAGACACATTTGTTTTTTACCATGGCAATATTTGTTCTTGAATACAGTTGCAACATCACTTTTTTGAGAAATAAAAGACATCACTCTCCTTTTTTGCATCTTTTCTATCTCACTCTTGCTTTTTCTTAAAAGAATCTGTCTGTTCAAAGTCATGCTCTACTGTAACTCAATAAATACTGGGATCCAAAGTTTAATCCCGACTCAATGCACTAGACAATATGTATCTGCCTAATAATTCTGATTGAAAGTACAAGCTGTTAAGTATTTTGTTATGAACAATTTCTCAACAGTAGGTGATACATATTAGATCACTCTCAGTTTCAAGAAATGGTCTTTTTTATAGGTTTCATGGTCATAATGTGTTATAAAAATCAGGGACCTTTTCGACTAGTAGCTGAGGAGGGCAAATCAAAATGTTCGTGGGTGAGTCTTGATGACGTCTCAAATATTTTAGTACGAGGTATCCTTCACTTTTGCTTCTGCAACTAAAGTTCATGATGCATCCTTTATTTTCCCTTGTTGCCTTTATCTTCCTTGTATAAGTACCTCTGCAACTAATATTATGTAGAAATACGATTACCATGGTGAGATACATGCAATCTATGTGTTAGGATTTAATGCATTAACGTTGAGACTCACATGTCACTAACATATTCTTGATTTGGACTTGCTTGGGCATTTGCATGTTAGTTTTGTCAAAAGGCATGGGCTTAAGTGCTATAGGCGAGGCGAGGCGAGACCACAACGTCTTTATTAGCCTCAGGCGATGATATTCATTGAAGCATTGCCTCAAGCATTTTACAGGCTTGGCGCCTTTGACAACACTATTACTACTTTAAATTATCTTATTTTTTGTTTTAAGGGTGAAAAATATAACTTTATATGACTATGTTATGGTATTTTCTTTTGATTTTCTAATGATGTAATCTTAATTGGGAAGATATATATTTTAGATTTATATATTATAATACATACATACATACACATTGCCTTGGTTCCTTCGGGCAAGTGTCTAGCGCCACAGGCATTTTAAAGGCTTGGCGCCTTTTGCCTTTGACAACATTGCTGCATATACCATGTATCATCCTGTTAAAGTACTGTCACATCTTTTTGGATGAAGCAGATTTAGAACAATCCCATCACCAGCGTGTTTCAGAATTGCAACGGCTTCGTTCTATGTATGTTGTTTATCTTAGTTTTCCTGTAATTGCTTATTTTTCCCATATGGTTCTGTGCTTATTCTGTACTCGCTTTGTTGCTCCATGGTAACCATTGCTATACCAATTAAAAGCCTTCTACAAGTGGTGGTTATTTTAATTTCATGCAGTATAGTTTTAGAACTTTTGGTCAAGATAACATAAGTTTTAAATGTTGTGAACTGTTCTTGAGAAAGAAACTAACGGTCTTTGCAATATTTATAGTGATTGACTTGTGTCAAGAATCCATGCCTATTACATCAATGACACCCACAGGTTAAATTAAGGTTTAGAAGAGTTCATATTTGAGATTGGTGGTTAAGCAACTTGTCATGTATTCATGTGGCTGTTCTATGACTTTGATTTTTCAATATATCCCTTGTCCTCTTCCTTGCTCCCTCCTATGCATAAACACACATGCATGAAAACTTGATCTTGGGTGTGGCATCACGGGGAGGGGGGTGATTTTTTTTTTTTTATATCTTGTTTTTCTTGGTTCTTGGTGGTGATATTTTTTTTGAAACTCTTTGATTTAAGTCTGATGGTTGATAAAAATGCTACAAATTTGACAGATTTGGAACAAGTGAAAGGCAATGGGTTGAAGCCCAGGTTGAGAATGCCAAGCAGCAAGCTATTCTGATGGTACTTAAATCTCAAGTAACATCAGATGAAGCACACATACATCTTGATCTTCATTCTCTAAGGTAGAAATTTCATGTTCTATATTCTTTTTGAGTCTATGGTCTTTAACTTCTCTATTTTTAAGGCTTCCAATCAAGCATAAGGTGATACACTCAGTGAGATTGTTCTTTCATACATACATAGACATGTATATATACATATATACATATATACATTCTCTGTATTTTACAAGCATATGCACGTATGGTCGTATGCATGCTTGTAAAATACAGAGAATGGCTGGATTCTTGTGTCCTCTTATCAAAATGGATTTTAGATGATCCTTAATGGAGATTATGCTATGGGGTAGACAGTTTTGCCACTAATGCCATAGAGGAGGCTTTGCATTATGAAAATGCTTTTATCACCTGGCATAGTCTCTCAAATATGTTGAAAGTGGCTCATGTCTGTTGCAACTATATAATTACAAATACCTTGACACTAATTCTTGAGGATAACATAGTAATTATGAACTTAGTTAATTTGCATTTAAAATAGTTATGGGGACTTCCTCCATCATAAATGTCTCCTTGGAAACCTCTTTGCTTCAGCGAATCCTCTTTTGTTATTCTAAAATAACCTCTCCAACCTAAGGAAATAATTACTCTCATTGCACACAAGCCTGCAATGTCATGTCCTGTCATCCAGCATCCTATGAAAGTAGTAGCAATAATTAACAAAAATTCCTAGGGTGAATTACAATAAATCCACACTGAGGTACCATGAATACAATAGATACCACCCAAAAGTTTGAATGTTTGTACAGAAAACCCACCATGTTTTAATAAAATACTATAGAAACCTCCTTTTACACAAAATCCCAAAAAAATCCCCTTTGGGTTTTTGTCAAACCTTCAAATTTCACCGTCCCTTGAGGAACTTATATTATGTTATTGTTTTGGCTATTTCATGTGACATGCTGTATTTATCTTGAATGAGCAGGAGAAAACATGTTGTATTGGTGGAAGAGCTTTCAAATCTTCATCACAAAGAAGATAAGTTATTATCTGAGGTTTGTTTGGGTGTATTTCCTAATTTTATCTATATATTTTTTTAATTCTGCTGGCTGTCATGGAGTATTTAGAGGTACCATAACTCTTTTGCTAGTATTCAGCAGGATTTGAAAGCCCACATGTTTTCATTGTGACATTTGTTGTATTTTGCACATGGAGGATGGCTCATTCTCCTGTTATTTTCTATTCCTTTTGTTTTAATTAAATCTTTCCTTTCCTAAAAACATTCAGAGAGGAAAACCTTAAGTTTGCACTTTGGGATACGCAGGAAAACCTTACAGTTTAGTGATTGCAGTTTGTGTGGCCTCTTTTAGATGATACTGATGTATCTAGGGAAAATTTGATGTTGGCACTGGTTAATGATATTATTTCAATCTGTGGGAACATTGGTTGCTTAGACAAAAAACTGAACCTTAAATCTGGGGGAACAGTGATTGCATGGGTGGCTGCAACAGAGGAAAAAAAAGATGGCATGGTGGTGTGAGAATTCTTATTGGTTTCTGTTGTTTTATTTGTCTATATTCTCTCTCATTCATTCACTAACAGGCACAGACAATTACCAAAGGTGGGCTTTTCTTAGATGTTACTATATGCATACTAAGTGCCCTCTAATGATTCAGCATCAACTTTTCAGACCATTCCAGATCTTTGTTGGGAGTTAGCTCAACTCCAAGACACATACATTTTGCAAGGTATTACGAAGTTGTAGCTTTCCTGTTCTAGAAAGAGGAAGTGCATGTTTAATTTTGTGGTTCTGATAGCGTTGGCTGTGAACTTTCAATTCTTATTTGTGCACTTGCAGGTGACTATGATTTAAAGGTCATGCGTCAAGAATGCTATATTAATCGACAGAAGATGGTATTTTTGTCAACTTTATAAGTTTATCTCCTTGCATCCTGGTTATAGTTGTATTCTGGACAGAGAGTTAGAAAGCAGGCTCTTGATTGCCATCATGTCGTATCTCCTTCCACAGCCTCCCTTTCCAATATTCCTTTTTGTTGCTTGCTTGTTTTGATAATAGAACCTAACAAAGCTATCAAATAGACAATTTACCCAATTTGACGTCCTGTTCGTGTCAGGATTTGATGACTACTGCTGCAATATTTGTGTTTTAGAACTGGCTGTGGATGTTCCAACAATGTTTACTTTTGCATTACTATACTGATGTTAGATAATCCATACTGTAAATAGTTCTGAATGAGTTTGTACAAAAACCATCCATCTCATCCAATTTTCATATAAACCAATTGAATAAATTGTTGCGACACTGATGAAACAATTCTATACTATGAATACACCTGCATGTATTTTTATGAGGATTCATAATCTTAATTTCTTGCTGCAGTTCATAAATCATCTAATAAATCAACTAGCAAGGCATCAGTTCTTGAAAATAGCTTGTCAGTTGGAAAAGAAGAACATGCTTGGAGCATATTCATTACTTAAAGTCATTGAGTCAGAGCTGCAAGGGTACCTTTCAGCAACTAAGGGCCGAGTGGTATTCCCTACTTCCTAAGCCATTTGTTTTAGTTTCTCCTGATTTTCATGAGATTGCCACTTCTATCAAATGTGCTGGCCACCTACAAGTTTGTCTTCTAGAGTTTTTTCTGTCATTTTAACCAAATCGGGACTTGGGCTGAAATGATCTTTTATATACTACGTTCAGATGAATTTTGTCAATAACTTTTTATTAACATGATAGGGTTGTTGCCTGGCACTAACTCAAGCTGCATCTGATATACAAGAACAAGGAGCAGTGGATGATCGGGATACTCTTCTGCATGGTGTTAGGGACCTTCTAAGTATACATTCAAGTAATCACCACATACCCTTTCCCCTCATAGTTAAATTGTTGTAAAATTTATTGTTTGTTGGAGGTGTACTGATTATGGAGTTCAAATTTTTGCTTCTGTCATTCCTTCAGATGCTCAAGCCGGATTATCAATATATGTATCAGCTCCTGGCATTGTACAACAGATTTCTGCTCTACATGCAGATTTGATGACACTTCAGTCTGATCTTGAGAACTCCCTTCCAGAAGACAGAAATAGATGTATCATTGAGCTGTGAGTAATCGAATTTCAACTAAGTATCCCACTTCTACATTGAATAGTATCAGGTTTTCTTTGCTTCCTCTGTTCCCACCACAACGGTATGATTTGAACATGAGATCCTTTGTGATTGGCATGATTATTGTTGCATCACTATATATGATTTCCCTATTTAGTCACATTGTTAAACTTTTTACCCCAAAATTCAGCCATTTGTGATAGTGTACTCCTGACTAGACTAAGCTTTGCTTTCCCTTTCATTTGTGTTTACCAACTATGTGTTTTGCTCAGCCAAAGAGGTTCGCATAATTTTCTTTGTAAGCAAATAACCAACACAAATAAATAATCTCAAAACACAACAAATACAGGAAAAACTCTCAACCTTTATTAGTCATAAACAAAGAATTTCCATGATACAAGTATTTGTTATGCACAAAGATTGCATGCTACATAACCATGACCTTCCAAGCTTATTTATAGACAAGTATGAGAGGTTATAAAGAATATAACTATCATTCCTATTTTTTAGGAAGTAGTGGGCACTTTTTCCCTCATGTTTCCATGAACATGGTGGGTGGTTTTGACCCATGATCTCATGATCTTAGTGTCTTGAGAAGAAATCCTAGCCATACCCCCCATGTTCAACAGCCATGTCCCCATGATTTATTCACCCATTTCCCCCATGATTTCATGATTATAACTGCCATAACTACTCACCACACTGCTATACATTTATCCTGAAATTTGTTTTTCTAAATGCCAACCCTCCACTAACATTCCAGCTGTGTTTTTGCTACCTTGAAAAGTCCATCCTCCAAGTCTAGTTTCATGCCAAGTCAAAAACCCATGACTTGTACAAAACCGATGCACACTGCTTGCTGAATTCGCTGTTGCCTACTATGGGTTGCCACTGTCCAATGTTGTTGAATTCTAGGTAGTTTGCATTCATTGGCGTGTGCTTGCACCTAGAACTCTAACAAACCATCCCCACCAAAAGAGTCTAACGTCCTTGTTGGAATAGAGGTGAGGTGTTCTTGCACTGTCTTTGATGTCACAAATTTGTGTCCTTTTCCCATGAAACCTTCGAGTTCTTCTCTCATTTTACTAAAAACTCAGCTCATCAATTCTTCCTACGCTGACCGAGTCGATGATGATCTATGATTTTGACAATACCATTGCCAAACTGTTTGTGAATCATTGAAAGAGCTCTTTATGACTTACTTTGTTTTGGATCTTCTTGATCTTCATTGAAAGGTCTCAAATAACTTGCATGAAAAGTTAGATGAAACTTTAGTTGTTATGGCATCTTTAATCTATAAGCAACAACCCCTACTTTTTTCATGATTTCGAAAGGTCCATCATATGTCGGTACCAACCCTTGATGCTTTGTATTCCTCATATTTTTCTTCCTGATTTGTGGAGTTAATTTGAGCAACACCTTGTCGCCCTAACTGAATTCCGGCAGTCTTTGTTTCTGGTTAGCATAATTTAACATCCTTTCTAGCCTTACGCAAGCTGTCTTGAGCTTGTTCAAACAATTTTTGTTGCTCCATCGCAAACCTTTACACAACTGGGTTTTTCCCATCAGATTTTTGCATAGCAATCTTGAAAGAATTTGGGGTTGTGTCCCCAAAACCAGCTCTAATGGACTTGCTTTCGTTGCCAAAGACTCAACAAAAGCAAGTCCTCTTTAGTTCTTGTCCCCCACCAAAGTTTAGCATCATTCGTGAGATGTATCAAGGTGAGATTAAGGGGCTATTTGGGAACGAGGTTGAACCTGCGTTCCCAAAAAATTCAAAAAAAATTTATTTTTTATTTTTATTAAAATTTAATATGGTTTGTATGTTTTGGATCGTTTTGATGTGCTGATGTTAAAAATGATTTTTAAAAAATGAAAAAACATCATTGATATGCATTTCAACACGAAAAGTTATTTGAAAAGCAACCGCTACCACATTGCCAAACATATTCTAACTTCTTCAACCAAGTCGATCTTCGCAATACTAAAGTATTGCTCCATGTTTTGTCACTTCATCACAAACTTGTAGGCAATACTTCCAAAAAATTTCTTGTGGGTGAAAGTGTCCCACTACTTCCGAAAAAGTAGGGATGATAGTTGTATGTTTTGTAAACCTCTCATACTTGTCTATAAATAAGCTTGGAAGGCCATGACTGTGTAGCATGCAATTTGTGCATAGCACAAACATTTGTATTATGTGAATCCTTTGTTTACGAGATTAATGAAGGTTGAGAGTTTTTCTTGTATTTGCTGTGTGCTTTGAGATTACTTGTGCTAGTCATTTGCTTATGACAAGAAAATTGTGCGAACCTCTTTGGGTGAGTGAAACACAATTGTAGGTAAACATGAGTAAAAGGAGAGACAAAACTTAGTTTAGTTGGGGCTAAACTGCCATAAAGGGCTGTATTTTGGGGTGAAAATTTTAACCCTGTGACAAGTGGTATCAAAGATTTAAGTGTTATGTTTGCATCACTATATGATTTGAACATGAGATCCTCTCTGATTGGCATGCTTATTGTTGCATCACTATATGATTTCACTAATACAAGATAATGATGATGCCTAGAAGACAATCAAAGATTGAAGTGTTATGTGTCCAAGGATTTCCTTGTTTTCAGGAATTTTTGTCTGCTGCTAATGACACCATGTCCTCTTGGTAGATCATTTTCTTCAGAAGGATCCATTATGTCTTTGAAAGGGTATTTTTGTGGACAAAATTTCTTTTGGTTAGGGTTCTTTTTGGCTGGGAGTGGAGAGGGGGTTGTGATTGAAGTCCGTAGTTAAATGCATTGAAAATCGCTATAAAACCTCCATGCTACATTTTGCTTTCTTTACCCACACAAGGGCAAGGTCACGTGATTGAAGTCCTTAGTTAAATGCATGGAAAATTACCGTACAATCTCCATGCTACATTTTGCTTTCTTTACCCTCACACACATGCAGATAGGGGGAGGGGGAGGGATGGTTCAATGAAACACTTCATGCAATCGAGAGACAAGAGGAATAAATCACACGGAATCGAGAAACAAGACTAGCTTTTAGTGGAAATTGTAGTTGGGAATATTGGAATTATTCACATTAATGGACTGATTTTCAGAATGCTAGGGAGGGAGCAGGCAGCTGCTAGTAAAACTCTGAAGTAGTTATAACATTTTCTGTTTACTTGTTTCAGGTGTACACTTATTCAAAGTTTGCAGCAATTGCTGTTTGCATCTTCAACAACTGCACAGCCAATACTGACACCTCGGGTATGATCGCACTGTCATTTCTTTCATCTTATGTTTAACTGGTTGAATGGTCTTTTGACAGCTTTTTTCCTTCCATTTTCTTGTTGGTTTATGCTCTTATTACTTAAATATCTGAGTTATATGTATGGCTCAGTGACTAATTTAAAATATCAAAACATGCAGCATCACTTTTGATTGATTTCTGAAACTTCAAATGATTGTAAATCCAAAATATTGATGCCCTTGCTGGGTGTTTCCAGAATTTCCTCTTGAAGCATAATTACCTGATCTTTGTTGGAGAACCTATATTTTTATCAAACTTTTCATGTGTCCTTAACGTGCCTTCAATTCTTGGAAAGAGGTTATCTTTAGAGAGAGCTTACTGCCATTTTGGACCTTTCAAAGGGACAAGGGTGTTCTGGTGGCTTTATGGATATTAGATACAAGGACTGATTGGAGTAATCATTCTACATTGTCTCTACTATATACAGTTTTCGAATCTTCCCAATGCATCAATATTCATGATATATTTATTTCCTTTTTTTTTTCTTCCCTGATGCACTGTCTGAATATATTAAGCGCTCATTGTGCTGTTACTTTTGTGTTCTAACTTGACATGTTTGCTCCTGTGACATTTGTTGCCTGTTTTAGACATTAATGAAGGAGCTTGATGAAATGGAAAAGATCAACGCAAAACTATCTGCGGCGGTTGAAGAGGTGACCCTTGAACACTGCAAGAAGAATGAGGTGAGCTTACATTGGTATATTATGAAAAATCATCCCATGGGTTAATTCCTACTTATAACTGAATCATCACTTCACAGTATATTAAAACAATACATGAATAACTGGACTGTCAAAATTTTGAGACAAATGCATTTCCTTACCTGGTTTAGTCTGAAGTGAATTAACCTGCCAAGTGGAGGGAGGATAATTAGGGGCCCTTCAGTAAGCATTTAAAGATGACAACAATAACGAAGGATAATGAAGGTGACTCTGTAAACCATAACACTTAATGTTAAGAAAAGAAAAGAAATCAAATTGTGACTTAGCTTTTAGGGGTAAACCGCAACACTTAATGTTAAGAAAAGAAAAGAAAAGAAATCATGACTTAGCTTTCAGGGCAACATGTTTGTTTTGCACACTATGAGACTATGAGACAATACCTTTCTCTAGCATATCTCCAATTGCTTACATACATCAAAGATTAGTTTTTATAGTGAATCTTAAAAGAAATTGCCACACCCCTACATAAAAAGATTCTTCTATGCCTACACCATGCTACGCCGCAGGGAAGAAGTCCTTGTCTTCTGCTCAATTTTTAAAACCACACCTATTATGCCATGCATCTGAATTTCCTGTCCACGTTCATTTCTCTTGCAGATTGTAAAACATCATTCCCAAGAGGTTGGACTTCAAAGGCGTGTTTTTGTTGATTTCTTCTGCAATCCTGAACGTTTGAGAAGCCAAGTTAGAGAGTTGACTGCTCGAGTCAGAGCTTTGCAAGTTGCTTGATCCGCTTGTTCATTTAGTCTGTCTGTCTATTCTATTCTCACCTCTAAAAACGTAAGACAAGCTGCATTGTTTCTTGAATCTGGAGTTGCGTCCATACTGTTATCGAAGTGTATCATGAGTCCAATAGCAGCTTCTGTTGCTACTGAAGCTCCACGTTAGATAAGGAACAAATGTTATCCATTACCAAGGGTTTCATAAATGCAACATCAATGAAACATGGAAACAGAGAAATGGATTCTATGCAACATCAATGAAACATGGAAACAGAGAAATGGATTCTTTCTGCCGTAGCTTATTTGCAGAGGCCACTGGCACTAGCACAAGCAAAAACATGTAAAAAAGCAGCTGCGCTTTGTGTTTTTCAAAAGAACATGGGATGAAAAAGTCTCGAGTCCTTGGATCAAATTCAGGGGGAAAGGAAAACAGAAAAAATTTAAAGCAGCAGCTAAAACAGGAGAAGAAAAATTAGCTTTTGCGTGCGATTCCAGAATTTAATGTAACGCATGTAGGCGCAAGTCATTGGCGGTGCTGGGTCAGAATCTTTGGTGGTGAAAATCACCGTTGCCGCCGCCACTAAAAGTAGCGGCTACGATTAATGTCATTGCGGCGAAAAGATCAAGAACTAGAACTGACACAATCGAACTTGGAGAGAGAAATAAATCCAGAGATATCTAATGCTCATAGCGATAGAAAACATGAAAAAAGAACTTTGTCGAGCAAAATATGAAAGGCAGTGTAGAGATGGTTTGGTTTTTATTTTCCATTAATATCAGTAGATTTCTCAAATTAAGAGCAGGGTTTTATTTAATTACTGTGGTTCTTCCCTCCCGCCCAATTAGAGAAGAGATTGAAAGCGATGTGGTTGTTGTAAAAACCCGCGAAATTCGATGACTCATGACACGCTGTGTGCCCATAACAAGTTGGAAATAGGAATTTTTTTTTTTTTTATTATCACATTCCATTGATACATAATGTGATTCTATTTATCATTTATATCACATATATATAATATATAATAACATCACAAAAGAAATAAATATTCATTGCATCCATAACATAATATAAATGAACAATGGACATCTACTTGAAACCGTATTGATAATTTAAATAGTTAGATTTTCATTATTAAGTTTCTACTAAGTCTCTCTTTAACAATTTACTTTACATTATCGTGCGACTTTATGTTGCATTATCTTTGGTCTGTAATCAACACCAATCATTAACATGCATTATGATAGGGCATCCTTTGATGATTGATTATCATCTCCTAACTATATTCAATTAGTCTATAATTTTTATACAGTAATTGACATGTTAATATTTCTACTTTAGTGTATTCATAATTACTTCAAAAGCATATATTATTATCATTATTAATTAATATTAATCTCATTTAATCATCTGATTATCCAAAATGAATACCAATAGCCGAAACTAATTTCATGATTTCTTTATGGTTATCCAATAAGGATACTATTAGCTGAAACTACTCATATCATTCATGGTTATTTGATACAAATACTAGTAGCCAGAACTAATCTCATTAATTAATCTCGGTTACCCTATATGGATCGATGCTAATCATAACATTCATTTCCGGTTATTCAAATATAGATACCATTAACTGAAACTAATTTCACCATTCATTTCTGGCTATCCAATATGGATACCATTAGCCGAAATTAACCTTATCATTTGATTTTAGTTATCCAATGTGGACACTATTAGCAAAAGTTAATCTCATCATTAATTAATCTCAATTTATATCATATGAATGCCATCAGTCGAAACTAATCTCATTGTTCATTGCATTTTATGAGTAATTCTTGTTTGCTATTGAATTATATAATCTCAATTTTTTCACTAAATAGTTTCACCCTAAAACTTTCAATTTTTTTATTCATATATATATATATATATATATATATATATATAGCGCTCGGTTACTATCTCATGACAAAAAAAAAGATAAATATAATAATGATAAAAGTATTTTTTTTGTTAAAGGAATATGCTAGAGACTATTTATTATTTTTTTTATCCCTAAAATATCTTGTAAAACACTTTTAATTTCAAAATTATTCAACTAAAGTATATAAATATAAATGTAGTTATTATTATAATCTTAAAATCAAAATGAGTTTCGACCCGGAGTAAGGTTTGAGTTATTGGTTGAGAGAGTTAATTTTTTTTAAAAAAATATCAAAACAACATTGTTTTGATAAAAAAAATTTCAAAACAAAAGTCAATATATTTTCGACCTTGACTTTAACTAGATTTTATCGCAGGGTTGAGAGTTTTGCTATGTTTTTTATTGAATCATATTAGATTAATTTTTATTTTTTTATTTTTTCTTACATTCAGACTTATCTAAGCTCTGGATTGACTGAATTTTTGGTTGATCCTCTAAGTCAATACAAGTTTTATAACTAGAATTATTATATTATTATTAATTCAAACACTCAATATAACCTAAATTAATATATATATATATAAGGATATTTTTTTTTAATATTTAACTTTAAACATGATACTGAGACAAATATTATTATTAAATATAATTTTATCTTTATTTCCTATTATATTTTATCTTTTTTATTTTCAATATCTCTGTCTCTACATGAAATAATAATAAAATATTAACTTAATTTATTTTAGTGACTAAAAAGAATTTATGAACAAAATTAATCACTCAAGTGATATAAATATATATTTTTAAAGTGTTTGGAATTATGGTAGAAATTATTTTTTATAGT